TTCCAGTTTGTGATTCACCCAGTCCAAGCATCTTGCATGATGTACTCTGTATAAAAGTTAAATAAGAAAGGTGACAATATACAGCCTTGACATACTCCTTTTCTAATTTTGAACCAGTCAGTTGTTCCATGTCCAGTTCTAACTGTTGCTTCTTGACACGCATACAGGTTTCTCAAAGGGTAGTCAATGAAGCCAAAGTAGATATTTTTCTGAACTCCTTTGCTTTCTCCATGATCCAAATTGCCATGCTGGCAATTTGATCTCTGGTTCCTTTGCCTCTTCAAAACCCAGCTTGCATATTGGTTCATGTACTGCTAAAGCCTATCTTGAAGGATTTTGAGCATAATCTTGTTAGCATGTGAAATGAATGCAATCATATGGTACTTTGAACATTCTTTGGCATTGCTCTTCTTTGGGATTGGAATGAAAACTGACCTTTTCCAGTTCTGTTGCCACTGCTGAGTGTTCCAAATCTGCTGACATATTGAACACAGTACTTTAACAGCATCATCTTTTAGGATTTTAAATAGCTCAGCTGGAATTCTGTAACTTCCACTAACTTTGTTCTTAGTAATTCTTCCTAAGGTCCACTTGACTTCACACTCTGGGCTATCTGGCTCTAGGTGAGTGACCACACCGTCGTGGTTGTTTGGGTCATTAAAACCTTTCTTGCACAGTTCTTCTGTCTACTCTTGCCACTTCTTAGTCTCTTCTGCTTCTGTTGGATCCTTGCCATTTCTTCCTTTATTGAGCTCATCTTTGCATGAAATGATCCCTTGATATCTCCAAATTTCTTGAAGAGATCTCTAATCTTTCCCATTCTATTGTTTTCCTCTCTTTGCACTGTTCATTTATGACGGCCTTCTCTCTCCTTGCTATTTTCTGGAACTCTGCATTCCTTTGGGTATATCTTTCCCTTTCTCCTTTGCCTTTTGCTTCTCTTCTTTCCTCAACTATTTGTAAAGCCTCCTCAGACAGCCACTTTGCCTTTTTGCATGTCTTTTTCTTTGGGATGGTTTTACTCACTGTCTTCTGTACCATGTCCCGAATCTTCAACCATAGTTCTTCAGGCATTCTGTCCACCAGATACAATCCCTTGAATTTATTTGTCACCTCCACTGTATAACCATAAGGGATTCGATTTAGGTCATCCCTGAATTGCCTAGGGGTTTTCCCTATTTTCTTCAATTTCAGTCTGAATTTTGCAATAAGGAGCTCATGATCTGAGCCACAGTCAGCTCCAGGCCTTGTTTTTACTGACTGTGTAGAGCTTCTCCATCTTTGGCTGGGAGCGACACAATTAGTCTGACTTCTGTATCAACCATCTGGTGATGTCCATGTGTAGCGTTGTCTCTTGGGTTGTTGGAAAATGGTGTTTTCTGTGACCAGCATGTTCTCTTAACAAAACGCTGTTAGCCTTTGCCTTGCTTCATTTTGGACTCCAAGGCCAAACTTGCCTGTTATTCTGGTTATCTCCTGATTTCCTACTTTTGCATTCCAATCCCCTATGATGATAAGGACATCATTTTTGGTGTTAGTTCTAGAAGGTGTTGTAGGTCTTCATAGAACTAGTCAGTTTCAGCTTCTTCAGCAGAGGTGGTTGGGTCACTGACTAACACCTCCAAAAAGAATTAAGTGGCTGGGTTGAAGAAGAAATGATGCCTAGTTGTGGACATGACTGGTGGTGAAACTCAAGTCCGATGCTGCAAAGAACAGTATTGCATAGGAACCTGGAATGTTAGGTCCATGAATCAAGGTAAACTGGAAGTGGTTAAACAGGAGATGGCAAGAGTGGACATTGACATTTTAGGAAACAGTGAACTAAAATGGACATGAATGGGTGAATTTAATTCAGATGATCATTTTATCTAGTACTGTGGGCAAGAATCCCACAGAAGAAATGGAGTAACCCTCATAGTCAACAAGAGAGTCTGAAATGCAGTACTTGGGTGCAGTCTCCAGAGTGACAGAATAATCTTAGTTTGTTTCCAAGGCAAACCATTCAACATCACAGTAATCCAAGTCTATGCCCCGACCACTGATGTGTGGAGGTACACTGCTATATTTTGGTGTTTATACTTCTAGACCCGTTGCTTTAAAAGTAAGGCCATAGTAGTTAATATTGTACATGCAATTTGCTTCCTGCTTTTTTTTTTTTTTAAATGAGCATTACCTGAGTTATTTTACCCCAATGTTTTAACCATGGAACTTTAGTCCGCCTAAGATCTCCTGGAATAGGTGTAGCACAATTTACATGACCACGTTCCTCTTCTTGGATATTTAGGTGTTTCCTATTTTTAGTGGTTCTAAAGAACAATCTGCCAAATAAAGAGATCTTATCCAAGGAAATAAAAGCAAAGTGTGGAGGTAGGGGCAGATTCTTGGTTGGGAAGGATTTCTGATGTCTCTCAGACCCTTCCCTCTTGAGACCAGCTTTCCTTGAGATTCTGTTTCCTTGGCCCAAGCTTTAGGTCTAAGAGTCGCCCCCTGCCCCAGGCCCCTGGCCTGCCCCAGCCTCTCTCTGAAGATTTGTCTTTGTATTCTGCGCCGCTCTGCACACAGGTGGTCTTGGCCGACTTTAGTCTCGCTGGGCCTCAGTCTCCTCATCTGGGAAATGGGGAGACTGAGATCTGGTTCCCAGGGTTTGCTGGATGGTCCCACAAACTGATGTTTTGTGCGGGATTCTCAGCTGTAAGGTGTGCGCTGCTGGGCTGGTATCTTGGCTGTTCTAAGTGCAGAAGGCGCCGTGCGGTTTGAATGTGGCAGGTGACCCAGACCTAAGCCGGTCAGAGCAGGAGCTGGCCGAGACAGAATGAATCTGAGCAGGCTGAAAACAGGCCGGCGGGAAGCCTGTGGGAAGGCAGCTGCCATCTTGTGGCCACAGAGGAGGGCCAGAAGGCAGAATCGGAGCGGAGGGAGACGCTCGATTCCGTGACTGAAGCAAGCGCGCTCCCTTGAGTTGTGAGAGTTAAAGGTCTCCCGCTTTCGCCTAGGTCGGTCTGAATTGTGCCTTTCTTTCTTTCTCCCTTCCTCTCTCTCCCTCCCTTCTTCCTCTTTCTTTCTTCCTCCCCCCCTTTCTCTCTTTCTTTTTTGGGTAACTTGAAGCCGAGTCCACACTGTTAATTTACTGTCTTTTTGTGATAATGGAAGGAAAAGGAAGGTGACATGGACCGACAGATGGTTAGCGCTGTACACACGTTCAGGATCTCACACATGACTTTCATGGGACCTGTCATTTTTGCCTCCATGGGTCTCTCCCTTCATAAAAGACAAAACCGCAAAACCCATTTTGCTACTGTATTAGCATAAGGAGCATAAACCAGGACAGACTGTATTCATTTTTTTCTTATTTAAAAATAAATTAAAACATTTCCTTGGGCCCTCGCACGGCGCCTATTGTGCTAATGGATAAGTCAGCTTTATGGAGGTTAACTTTTCTCCTGCTTGTACACACTTCTGTGTGGGCATGCATTTGTAGTGAACACATAGTTCCTAGTTACAAGCAAGTTGCTCCTTCAGTTGATGTATGATGCAATCAAGAGCCACATCAACTGAGATCCAGTTCTTGATTTCACAGGTACAAGCAGTGTTGGATAGGGGCTCAGACCACTGACCACTTCTAACTGGGTCGATTCTTTTGTGGTCTGATTGACTGCGATAGGGTGTGTGTGTGTGTGTGTGTGTGTGTGTGTGTGTGTGTGTGTGATACAGATCACTAGCTCACTTCTGACTGGCTGAATGTTTTTGTGGTGTATTTGACTTGAATAGGATGGGGCGGGGCTCAAGGAATGCTGGCTTCTGAGTGGCTGAATACACTTGTGGTCTGATACCAGAATGTAATAGGCTGTTACTAAGAGCAATACCCACAGCAATACCCAATTGGCTGAATGCAAACACTGGCTCATTGGCTCCAGTGTCCGCAGATGCCCCAAGGTGCTCAAGACTGCAGGCTGAAGAAAATCACACTGTAATGTAATTGGGCTGGTTGCACCAGCAAAGAAGCTGCCCATCTGTGTCGAAAAGCCTCCGGCTTGAAGTACCTCCAGTACAAGTCTTTCCGTAAAGGTTATGGAAAACTCAGGAACATTTACATTTTGCAGAGTTTACCGAAAGCTGTCCCTGAATTTTGGTGGTCGGTATTCTAATTTCATTGACTGGGTGGATACTGTGGTTAGACCCACCAGTCTTCCCGGAGTCAGAAGGTCTGCGACTGGGCCAGCCTTGTCTCCCAGTGGATTCCAGCCTGCAAGCGCAAGGGGGTGGGGATAGCAGTAGGGGTGGGGGTGGGAAAGACAATCCTGATGTTCTGTTCTATCTTATCTCCTCTCCCATGTTCCCCCAGCGCCTCCCCTGCCTTTCCTAAGAGTTCCCATACGGAGGCCCTGGAACTCTGCCAGGAGCAAGATAAGTGTGGACCAGGGGAGCTTGCCAAATGTCAGGAGGAAGCTGTCCGGGGTAGATAAATATTATTAACCTTCAACAGCGGGTCTCAGAGTGGGGCCCTAGAACAGCAACATCAGCGGTCACCAAAAGAACATGATAGAAATGCAGGTTCAGCGGTCACCAAAAGAACATGATAGAAATGCAGGTTCTCAGAGGCTCCCGTTGTGGCCAGGAACCCTTGCTTTGACAAGCCCTCCAGGTGAAGCTGAGGCTCACTCAGGTCTGAGAACCTGTGCCTTGGTATGACGTCTGCTTGGAAGAACACAGTGTTTTCCTTTATTTGAGGGCATCCCTGGTGGCTTGGATGGTAAAGAATCTGCCTGCAATGTGGACGACCCAGGTTCGATCCCTGGGTCGGGAAGATCCCTGGAGAAGGGCTTGGCAACCCCCTGCAGTACTCTTTCCAGGGAAATCCATGGACAGAGGAGACTGGCGGGCTACAGTCCATGGGGTTGCAGAGTCAGACAGGACTGAGTGACCAACACCTTTCCCAGGGCAGCTCCGCTCACGGGCTGCAGACCCAGCGTGCAGAGCCCGCACCGGCGGCTCTCATCTAGGCAAGTAGGCCCCGAAACCTGGGAGGTCTCGCATGAGGTTCCACGTGGGGAATCCGGGAATCCCACTCCAGCGACCCTTTTGGGTCCTTCATCGGCGCCCAAGCCGAACAGCTCGATCTGTGTGTACGCGTTGGCCTTTACTTCTCTTAGCGATGTGGCATCGACAGCCACTTGCGGTGTCCGAGCTCCCCAGGCGGCGTCCCTGCCCCGGGCCCGCGGACCCGCGCTTCCCCGGGAAGGAGCGGGCGGCTCCGGCGCGCGCAGCTCCGCGCCTGCCCCCGGCGGCCGCGAGGTGGCGCTGTTGCACTTCCCCGCGGGCTCCCGCTCCCCGGCCCCGCCGGCCCCGCCGGCCCCACCGGCCGTGAACAGCGCGCAGTCAGCCGGGGCCCCTTTCTCTGGGGCTTCCGGGGAGGGACAGGCGCCCGTAGGCCTTGGACCGAGGGGGCGCTGGCCGCGGGTCGGAGCTGCAAAGCCCCGAGGGACTAGACTGTCCCACCCGCAGGCCCCGCGCGTCCCGGGCGCCCGGAGGGCAGGGCTGGGTCACGGGCCCGGATATTATCAGAGGAGCGCCCAGAAAAGCGGACAAGGGCTGCTTCTCGGGGCGGCCTCTCCTCTGATCGCATCCCGCTTGTTCCTCTGTGTGTGTGTGTGTGTGTCTGTGGGTGTGTTTCTGTGTGTATATCTGTCTCTGTGTGTGTCTGTGTGTGTATCTGTCTCTGTGTCTGTGTGTGTGTCTGTGCATCAATTCAGCCATGACAGGGAGTAAAAAGCAGAAACTGCCCAGAAGGGCAAGGGTCCTGCAGAAGGCCGCACAGAGAAAGCACGCCGTCAGGCGTGAGGCGTTGGGTCTGGGGCAGCCAGACTGGGCCTGGGCTGGGGGCCGGCGCGGGGGTCGGAGCCCGGGACATGCTGGGCGCCTGAGAACCGCCCGCGGCTGCAGAGTGGCCGAGGGGCCACATGAGCGCCGCCCAGGAGGGCGCCCGGTGGAGGACAAGGCTGTGGTGGTGATAAGCAGCAGCGGCGGCAGTAAATGCTTAGCAGGCACAGGCCCCTGTTCAAAAGCACCACCGCGTGTGACCCCCCACCCCGCCCCTGGGAAGGACGAGGTGTGCGCCCCGGTTTTGTTGTTTAGCCCCTAAGTCGTGTCCTGACTCTTCTGGGATGCTATGGACGGTAGCTGCCAGGCTCCTCTTCCCGTGGGATTCTTGAGGCAAGAATCCTGGAGTGGTGGCCATGCCTTCCTCCAGGGGATCTTCCCCACTCAGGGATCGAACCCACGTCAGTGGCATTGACAGGCAGATTCTTTACCGCTGGGGAGACAGAGGCACAGAGAGGTGAGTCAGGCCGCACCACCAGCCTCTTTGGCTCCAGAACCTCCTGGACACAAAGCTGGTGGCCATTGGCTCCAGGAGGGGTCCCTGGAAACAGCGTCCTGACTGAGGTGCTGCCTCTGTTGGGGCCTCTCGGGGTCCAACTCTTCTCACTGGCTTCAGGCCAAAGAGGAGCCAGAGGGCCCCAGCCACTGCTCTGAGGGCGGCCTCCCAGATGAGCTTCAGGGTCCTGCGGAGCCGGCTCGATTCCCCACAGGTGCAGCTCTGGTTCCTCCGGGGGGACCTTTCAGAAGTGCTCCGTGCCCCCCCCCCCCCCACCTCATCCCCCCAAGGCTGCATGGAGCAGGATCGCTGAAGCTGCAGCTTTAGAGAGGACCCCTTCTCGGGAACAGAACCTGGGCCACAGGCAGTGGCGAGACCAGGTGGGGGCGCTAGGGAGCCCCGGGTCAGGACAGGCCGTCCGCCAGAGCCCCGCGTGTCCACGGGAGTCTGCAGCGGCCTCAGCCTGCTGGCTGGCACCCCTTCACCTCACTGCTCTGGCCCCCACCCCTCCCTGGCGTCTGCCCTGGGGCGGATACAACTCTGAGACCGTCAGGATCCCCCCCAGACACCTAGCTCCTCACGCCTCCTGCTGCTGCTGAAGCCAGCTCGGGTCTGCTCACCCACGTGCAGTAACACCATGTATAGACACAGGGCTGGGCTGCTGGGCTGAAGGCAAGTGCAGTTTATTGCAGGCGCCAAGCAAGCTGTCCAGGCAGCTGCGCTCACGGGCTTGAACTCCTCAAAGGCTTTCAGCGAAAGGTTTCTAAAGACAGGGCACGGGAGGGGGGTTGTGATCATCTGTGGACCTTCTTCTGACTGATGGGTGGGGAGGTAATTGGGAGTCAACATCTTCAACTTTCTGGTTCCAACCAGTCTGGGGTCTACGTGCTTGTGGACAGCACGCCATTAACTGCTTCCACCTGATGGGGGTTTCAATATCTGCAAAATGGCTCAAAGGACATGGCTCAGAATATTATCTATGGTCCTTGAGGAATTCAATTATTTGACTTTCATTTAATAATGAAACCATTATTATTTTGCCTTGCTTTACTGTGTTCCTTTTTTCCCTGCATTTTCTCACTTCTCTGATTAAATTTACTCTTTGGAACTTGGGGAAGCCTAGGAGGCTAAAGTTTCCTAAGGACAAGAGGCAGGCAGAGGACAGGGGCCAGTGGGTTTGTCCCAGGGAAGGCCGAGTCCTGATCTAGTTTACATTTCCAAGTTTACTTCCTCACACTTATGTCTTTCTTTGAACTTCTCCCTTAGAGTTTCCAAAGGTTTGTGATGATGAATCTGCTTGTCTGTTCTCTGGTTTGTCATCCGCCTCCTCTTTCCCCCTAAGCTCCATGACACTGTCGATTTTGATATCCATTGTGCTCAGGCCTAGGGAAGATTCTGGAACCTAGTGGGTCCTGGAGAAAATTGGAGTTGGCCTCCTCTTGAACCCCACGCTGGTCCCATCCCTGTTAGGTCACACTTGGGTACCGACTGATGCTCTGCTGACTTGAACATTATGCCATGGTCCTTCGGCCCTGTCTCCACGTTCTTTCTTGCTTTCTTTCTTTTGTTTAAATGACGTTGACCTGTTTGAAGCATGTGGTAATGCTGCTGTTCCTACTCAAGCGTCGTGTCCAGAGGCAAGTTTAAAGTCAGAACCTTCCTCAGCGCCTTCCCTCAGGGCCCTCTTCCGATTCCTCTTTGCTTCCACGGTTTCCGTGCAAACGCTCTCGCTTCAGGAGGCGGCTCTTTTCCCCTGTGGGCTCTGGCAAAAAAAGGTCTTTCTTCTCAGCTCTGGTTGTCAGACCTGAAGGCGCCTCCTGGCTCCTGGCAGGAAGGCCTGGCTTCGGATGGGAGTGATGCTGGCGGGCCCCCGCGGTTCCCTCTGCATCGCTTCCTCTGACTGCACCAACCGCCAGGCCTCCGGGGGACCGTCTGGAGGAGCAGCTCCAGGCTGGGACCCGCCTACCTTCCTTCTCCCTGGTGGTGTCGCGGCAGAGTGTTGAAAACAGTCCAGTGTGTGCTCTGTCACAAACGGCAGGGGGTTGGTGGGATGTTGGGGCCCAGGGGATGTGCTCAGTCCCCAAGGAGAGGGGGTGCTGGAGGCTGTTACATCCCGGCGGGGTGCAGGGGTGACCACAGCGTCTCTGGAGGAGGCATGGGGCGTGTTGGGCCGCGGAGGCTCGGGGACTCGCGGCTGTAGCAGTGACATCCCTGCAGTCAGTCTTCTGTGTGGTCCTTGCCAGTCTAGGAAAGAAAGAAGACACTTCTGATGTTTGATGCTGGGACAGCGGCCTGGGGAGGTGGCAGGAGAGGCATGCTTGAGTCCTGAGTTCAGATCCTGGTTCTGCCTCCGACACTGTGGGGCTGGAAGTACTCCTGGCTGCTTCTGTGTTCAAAGTTGGCATCAGTGACAGAGAAGGTGTCTAACAGGCATCGTGCTGCCCACATTTGGTGTCTCCGAAGCGCGGTGTCCTTGCCTGCTCTCTCCTCCTGGCCACCTTTCTGCTTGCTCCTCTGCAGGAGGGGGATGGGGAGAGACCCAGAAGGAGGCCTGGGTGCTGGGTGCGCTGCTGGGACCCAGAGCCGCTTGGGCACGGTCATCTGTGGGCTCCTGCTGCCCTGCCACCTTTGACTTTCGCTGTTTGGCACTGTTTGCAGGGTACCCAGGACTTGCTATGGACCTGGTCCAGAAAGACGTACGGAACAGAAGTGATGGCTATCCTGCAGCAGACTGTGATCGTGCTCACCGTTTTCGAGGAGCAGAAGGCACAGGTCCTGCCTTGGCCACAGGGGAAGCCCCGGGTGGATCCGGAGGAGAGGGGGGAAGGGGCAGGGTGGGTAACAGCCTTTACTGTGGTTTCCACGGAGGCAACGACTGAGGCAGTGTGCAGCCTTGGGCTGGCTGAAGTCATTTGAGTGCCCTGGGCACACGGCCTGATGGTCTGAGGCCTGGCCCTGGGGTGGGTGGGGCGGCTGGAGAGCGGTGGAGGCAGTGGAGGTCTGAGGGGAGCGCCGATAGGGTGGTTGAGGGTGTGTGGTCTGTATTGGCTTGTCTTTCAGTGTTGTGAAATTGCTGCTCATCTGGAGGAAATGGTGAACTCTGGAAGGCACAGGCCCTCCAGGGTCAGCAAGGCCCGAGATGTCAGGGCCTCAGGAGACAGAAAATGAGTGACATGGTCAGTCAGGGCCTTCCACCCCCAGGAAGGAGGAAGACCTGACTTTGAGGATCCCAACCCAACGAGGCTGTGCTCTGGCCCCTCAAGGCCATGACTTGTGTTTGCGGTCTTCTAAAATGTACCTTTCCTGGCCACAGATAAAAACTTGCTGGGTGAACACAGAAAGGCTGGGCGTCTCATTCAAACAGAGATGCTTCTGGTGTCACGCCAATCTTGGCAGGCAGAGCGGGCGCACGGATGCCTCATGCAAGCCTTTCCTCCTCTTCTTGCTCAATCATCAGCCGGGCGGTCACCAGGGATGCCACCCTCAGATGGGCTGGTGAGGCCCAGGAAACAGTGACCCCTGTGGGAGAGGGCGGCGTGGTGAGGGTGCCTTGCCCATGTCTCATCTGAGCTTCTTCTGCTCTTTCCGCTGGCAACTTGGGAGAAGAAAGAACACTACGGACTCTGGAATGGCAGAAGTCAGAATTTACCAGCTTTTGTTTGCAGCTGGGAGTGAGATCGTTCTAGGTCACCAGTTCCGGGGCAGGGCAGTAGAATCGAGTGACCTTGCATGTTAGTTTGTGTGCGCGCACACGCATGCACATGGGTATGTGTGTGAGCACAGGCCATGGGGTGGTCAGACCTTTGTGAGTTCTCGGGATGAGGGTGAACATCACTCTTGGGCTCCGATGAGTGCACACCCAGAGTGGGGAAGACAGACCCCTTTTTCTCAGGTCTCTGACCAGGAAGGAGGGGCTCCTGATTAGCGTGATGCAGCCCAATGTCTGGGAGTGGGTCTGGCTTGATAGCATCAGTGTGCTTGGGTTGAGGAAATTTTAGAAGCATTCAGACTCTTGGGTGGGAGACTACAGCCTGTCCATTGAGCCAGAATTACTAATAGCCCATCATCCAGCCTTAGGTTTTCCAGAGAATGTGTGATGCCTCCTTCCCTCTCACCCTGCCTTCCTCCCTTTCGCCTTCCCTTCCTCCCTTCTGCACATCCGTGAACCCATTACTGTGTCTTAGGCACAGGGCACAGAACAGTGAACAAGGCAAGATGCAATGTTTGCCTGGCTGGAGTGATGATCTGGACCAGGTTTTTTGGTCTAACGCCTGGGGCCGAATGAGTCCTTGTGGTGGGGCCTCTGTGCCCTGGAAGGTGTTTGGCAGCATCCTGGCCTCTACCTGGAAGACCCAGTGTCCGTGGGTGACCTGGCAGTCCCACTCCTGGAGCACGGAGGGCCTCGATGGCATCTGTCCAATGTCACCTCCTGCTCACAGGCCAGTGGAGCTGGCAGATGGCGCTCAGTTTGTTCCTGTTGAGAAAGTGATTGACCACGGGTCCCCAAATAAAATGCCAGTCCAGGAAAGGACCTGTCTTAATAACGTGGACAGGATTGTCATGGAAACTCTTAATTGGCATCACCCGAAAAGGTAAGTGGAGGTATCAGAGAATAAGATTAAGAACAAAAGGATCTTCCCTGTGATTCTATTTTGGCCTTCGCTTCACCTTGAAATAACTGTGTGTAGGAGAAAGGATTCATTTGCTAGCAGACCGACCATCTGAATTTTGTCTACTTTTTGCATAAGCCTCGAATTCCCACCGGGTTTCCCAGGCCCCTTGAAAGGGAGGCAAAGGAAAGTGTGCAACTGGATTTCCTTGTGCCTCATCCAGGGGGCCAGCCTCAGCTTTTGCCAGGTGTCTGGCTGCATCTTGAGCTTGGCGAAGGCATGTCCATATGCTCCTGTGACGTCCAGCAGAAGAGGACCATCTGATTCAAGAATCCTTTACAGGAGATGCTGTCGACACCGCTGCATGACTCTCCCCACGTCCAGCTGGGTTTCTTTCTCTTTTCTCAGCTCCAAAGTGTTGATAGGTCAATCAATGCCATGCTTGCAATTTTATCTCAGCTGGGAGTTCTGATGGGCGCCTGTGTGCCCGTGTGTGTACTTGCTTGTGCATGTGAGCTTGCTCCTTGGTCAACACATACTCGGTTAAAGTGCTACAAGATGCTGCTGGAAAGGATTTCATCTTGCTCATTTCAGTGTCGAAAGAGGCTGTGCCTGCTTCAAGTTGCTCAGGTGCTCAAGGATGATTACAAGCATTTTCGAAAGCAAGACGTGAAAATGGAAACTTCTTAGTGTAACAAGATATGCTTTGGCCATTTCAGTCATTGGAATGATAAGTTTGGAAACCCCTTTAAGTGAAATCCAGGACACCATTTTTGAGAAGATGTTTTTTAAAAAGGAAACCTGTACTCTATCCCCAAACTAACAATGGTGATGGTGTTCACGATGCCAGTGACAGAACCACATAATTTCCATTTGCAAAGGCCTTCAGACCCCTCTCAGTCATTCAGTCTCCAAACCTTGGAATCATTTTTTGATCTTTCTTTTCTAACTTCTCATCATCAGCCAGTTACCCAGATCCGTAGCGTTTC